CCCCCCGTCCTGAATTTATGTCTTGGAATTGCGGTATACACTGTGTTAAGCAATCTTTACAGCAGATATGGAAGTCAAGAGACTTAATTATTTTAGTCTTGGACCCCGGAACTGTTTCTGTATCTTTTCTGTAGTACTTCACAAGCATGAAGAGCTTTCTTAGTGTATTTATTCCCTTCCCTTATTATTTTATTTTCTTTGACCTCTAGCTTGACTCCTTAAAATTGAGCATATACAGTTTTTAAGTTTAAGATACAGATACTGTGTTGAGGCTCACAGGACATTTCCATTGTAGCAAAGTCACTTGTGGGAATCCCCATTGAAAGATTTCTGGTTATAAATAGAAATGTAGAATGAGTTATCATTGAACTGCACACTTGTGTGTTAACTGATCACTCAGAAGCTCCAATGTAATCTTTTTCTTGGTTTGTAATTGTGAATTGATTATAATGAGTGTCTAATATTATACTTTGAAGTTTGTGCATTCATGAATTTAAGTACCCAATTTTTCCAAGAAGCAGTTTATTTGCAGGTACCATTTAGCTTGTATTTTAATATGTGTATATAAAATTAGTTCTTTGCATTTTCTCTCTAGAATGAAAAGTAGATTATTAAATTTTCAAATATAACAGCATGTTAATGTGAAACCAGGCCTTCACAGGTAGTGACAAGGCATTTGAAATATTAGTTGCTTAGACTAGTTGTAGGCCATATTTGTAGAAAAATCTGCAGAATAAAAATTTTGAAAGTCCTGCTACAGCTGTATTAGGTGGCATCAGAAGAGTTTTACTTCTGAGCAATACGGCATCCAAAGACTAGAATGTGGAAGGACATAGCCTCAGAGGAAAGAGCAAGGCTACACATATCTAGGCAGTCCTCAGTATGTCTAACAACTAAAAAACGAAATGGATTGCCTATGAGATGCTGAGTTCTCTTCCCTCGTCCCCTACAATGAGAACATTCAAGTAGTTAGAAGACAAGGGGATCATGCTTGTAGTTGGTGAGCTCAGACCCTAATTTGAGTCTTCTCTCTAAAGAGTCTGGGAAAACAGTTGATGTCCTTTCATTTCACTTTGTAATTAGATGTTACAGATTGGTATTTAATTTCAGTTAGGTAGAAGATAAGCAGAACTGTCAATTCATGAATGATAAAGCCGTGTACTATGTAGAGGGGCCTAGGAAAAACTAAATGTAGAAAATGTTTTACACTTGGAGTAGGTACAGGAAAAGGAAATTTGAGAAGAAAAGTTTGTACAGTAATATATATACACAATTGGTTAAAGTATACTTTCATTTGCTTTGGGAAGCTTAAGTTCTTATTAGAACAGATTCATGAATTATTTTTATGTTTATGTATTATATTTTGTATATATTTATTTTTATATGTTCAGTATTCAACCCTTTTTAATTTCACTGGAAAGCAGATTATATTTTATATCTTAAGATAACTTATTGAAATAGTTCTTCGTAGGTAAATGTTTTATGTCATCTGAGTTTAAGTTATAACCTGGTTTTATTTGGAAATAGAAAAGTGTAGTGATAATCCAGTTCCTAAAATGTCAAAGGCAGTAGGTTTTCTGGTTGTGCAGTGAAGAGTTTCTTCTTTCTTTTTTAATTTGCCAGAGGGTACTTGTGCTCATCAGAGAGAGAAAACACCTCCCAGGAGAATGATAACCCTAGAGATCCTTTTTAATTTCTCCCTCCTGGGATTTTGGGCACACACTCATACCCTTTGGTAACGTTTTTCAAGTCACCTGACTTGTGTTAGGTTCTGGGACTTGAACTGCCAAGCCATCCAGGTGGGAATCTTAGCTCCCTTAACCAACGAGCCCTGGGCTGGCTCTCAAGAGTCTCTTTTTTCTAATTCTCTTCACTCAAGCTGTATTTTTTTTTTCCCCCTTTAAATTGCCAGAGGGCATATGGACTCCCCAGAGAGAGAAAGTGAGAGAGCAACTCCCTTGGGAGATGGTCATGCAGCAGTCCCTTCTCCAGCAGTCCTTTCTCTTTCTCTCCCTGTTTTGAGATTTGGAGCATTCTTGCACATGCATCTGTTGTGTGTCTCAGGTTGCCAGGTCTGAGACTTAAACCATGCATGCAGTTAGCCATGTGGGAACCAGCCACTTTAACTACCACCTGACAGACTGGCCCAACATTCAAGCTCTTTGATTAGAAAACCTGGTGAAAGTTTTGTATTTGTTCTAGAATTGTATCCAAGTTAAGATCCTGAAGATAATAGCTGGGTTTGCTTTTTAGATACTGTTTGAGGTGTGGTGTGCTAATGAACTCAGATATGGATGGGTCTGGCCAACCCTTGGTCATTGTCACTTAGCTTGCGTGGCAGTAGGGTAATTTTGGCTGTTAGTTGGTAGGAGGCATAGTTCAAGTGGAAATTATGGCGTTTTGGTTGAGTTAGTCTTTTCTTGTTATGAGCCCTCCCTAAACCGCTTATTTTGTTATCTTGTCATGAGACCTAGAACCCGCACCTTGTATCTTTAATAATCTCTATTTTATATGTTGGGAAACACCAAGCAGTTTAAAAATCGTTGTCTAATAGTGAAGGAGGACTAGAGGCTTTTGGGCTCTAGTATTCTT